ATTAAAGTGTATGGTATTGTTATTATGAGTGTGATTATTTATTTCTTGTTGAATGAATTTGAGTTTTTGATTTGGTTTATGTAATAATCATGTTTTCATGAAATTATGAACCTCCGTTGACGTGCATGGCTTGTATACTAAAAGAAAAACATGTTTTTAATCTTTTTGCTTAAGTATCATAACCATAATTTTTTCAATATTTTTTATTTAATTAATTTTATATTACTTTTTCTTTTTTGAGTCGACCATATAATTTTATTAAAAGACCCAAAGGCCAATTACAGAAACCTAAAAAGATTAACAAAGTCCGGTTCAAATTTAATAACGAAAACGCGTAAAGAAGAAAACACAATATTTAAAAGCCGCGACTCGAATCTTGAAGCACCGCCGGAACCCTTCACCACCAGTTTCCGATTAGTCGCCACCAATTAGCCGGCGATGACTATCCTCCTCTCTTCAGCTGATCTCTAGATCGTCCCCCCTAAATCGTCGTATTCAATCCGAATCTACCACTTAAACCACCTCAAAAATTACTTCAAAAATCACCAATATCTTGGAGGCTCCATCACCGCTACACCCAAAACAGTTGATGTAGTCTTCAATCCAAAATTGCTCTTGCGTCTTGAGCAGAGGAATAGTGATAAAGATATTATTCCACAAATAATTGGAGAAAATCAAAGAAACTTAGAGGAAAAACATAAACACGGCGTCAAATCAAGGAAGGAGAGAGATCTTAAGACAAAATAAAACCGGACTACACCGGAAAATAAACCAGACTACGCCGGAAAAGTAAAACGGTAAAGCCGTAACACCGATCCGATACATTAAAATCGTAGATCTAAACATATACAAAGAAAACATAGAAAAACACAAATCGGGTCAACGACGTGGCTATGCAAACCCACCGCCGCCGGCCAAAGCTCAGATCTAATCAGAAACTCTCACACGAAAAACTTGTTTATAAAGAGAGAATTTTATATTACTTAATTATCTACTATTTCATTTGCAAAAATTCTCTTAATTTAATTCTTATTAATCATCTACTATTTCATTTACCAAACACTCTCTTAATTTAATTACAATTATCAAACACATTTGGAACACTATTAAATATAATTGCTATTAACAGTTATGCCATATATCTTTTATATTAGTGATTGTGATATGCAATAAATATTTATATTTTAGAAATATTTGTTGAAATTTATTTGCAAACCCTTATTTTGT